TTCTGTGTTAAGAACCCTTCACACCCAGCAGGTCTAAACACTGGCCCGAGTGGCTATAAAAGGAGGAAGCGTGAAAGTGGAAAGAAGGAACCCTACCTCTCTGCATCCGCCCAGTGAGTTTTCTTCCTCTTCGCTTCTGTCTCGCCAGCGGATGCCGGCTGGCTCAGCCTCCACTGTCCTTTAGAAATCCTCGCCCAATCCAGCGCCATGAAGACTGGCTCCTACACAAACTGCCAAGAGTTTCAAAGCTTTGGGTCGTATAGCTAGGCCTGTGGTGCATTTTCACTTGGTTTTTGCCCAGTTTGTTCTGAAGCACACGGAGCTCTGTTTACTCTTTGAAAATGGTCTCCTAAAGGAGAAGCCTCATTAATGTCATGCGTTGCCTCAGTCGTCCTGGAGGGAAGGCGTTGGGAGCCTTGAAATGGTGACGTTCCAATGACTTCTTTTTTTCTTGACAGTCGTTATATCTGCACTCCACTGTCGCCATGTCTTGTTTATCCTTTGCGTGGAAACTAAGCAGTGGGGAGAGCGGTCGAGATCATAGAAACCCACAGTTTCTAGCAGCCCAAACCCGCTCACTGCCATCAAGTCGAGACTGACTCATGGCGACCCTATAGGACAGGGTAGAACCATGCCTGTGGCTTTCCGAGACTAGTTCTCCACGGGAGTAGAAAGCCCCGTCTTTCTCCCACAGAACGGCTGGCGGCTTCGACGTGCCAACCTTGCAGATCGCAGCTCGGTGCATCACCACTAAGCCACCAGCACCCCCAAACCAACTCAAGCAAGCCCCCACTCTTGAGCCTGTTGATTCACAGGCCACGGGTCCATTTCTGGAACAGTCTCCAAGGAGGTTCCACTTGAGCAGTGGCCCCACTAGCCAAGTGCCGGGGGAAGCGTCAACACAGGCAAGGACCTGTGGTTTTGGCTGGCGTCTCGCCGATTCCACCTCATGATGACTTCATGGGTTACAGAGCAGAATGGCGCCATGAGGTCTGTCCTGACTGCAATCTCTACAGAGATCTCTGGTGGCATAGTGGTTAAACACGAAGCTGCTAACTGAAAGGTCATCGGTTCAAATCCACCAACCACACCATAGGGGAAAAGAACTGGTTGTCCATTCCTGCAAAGATCAAAACCTAGGAAAACCCGACAGGGCAGTCCTAGTCTGTCACACGGGGTCGCTTCGAGTTCGAATTCACTAGGACATAAAGCATCGACAACAAACCTTTATGGAGGCAGGTCACCAAGTCTGCTGCGGTGTCATGTCATGGGTTCTAACCACCAGCCTTTCAGTTGGCAGCCAAGTACAAACAGCTGGTGACTTGGGTCACGGCAAAAAAACAAACAAACAAAAAAAAAACATAGCTGTTGAGTTGGTTCCGTCTCCTGCAACCCTATAGGACAGAGTAGAACCGTCCCAGGGATTTCCAAGGCTGATATCTTTACAGAAAAAGATCACCTGATCTTCTCTCCCATGGAGTCAATTGGTTAGCGGACGAGTGTTTCACCATGGTGCCCCCAGGACCCAGTCACAAAGACCCTGAGTCAAGTAAAGGTGCTGAGGAGAGGCATTGGGGGGAGCAGCAAGGGGCGGGATAGTCCAGCAACAGGAGAGACCCCAAGTGGCTGGGAGACAGGCATGGAGGAACAGGCAAGTGCCTTGCAGAAAACTCGATGGCTTTGATGGCTTCCCTGAGCAATGATGGAAAGTTGTTGGAGCATTGAAGCCCAGGATGGATGTGAGTGGTGTCCCAGGGTGGTGTGCCAAAAGCCTGGT